AAACAAAATAAACAAAATATTATTCAATCATTTAATTAGTCAACTGTTCATTTGTGGTTATCAACCGCTTAAGTTGTTAGTTACACAATAAAGCTGTTATGTTTGGCTTGGGGTATTATCTATTACCATATATCATTAATTGATTTTCTGTATTGATCAGTGGTGTTAGTTTTAACAGTTTCACAGTTTGATTAAGGTTATCTAAGGTGAACCAAGTAATCATGCATGTGCAGTTGTAAATTCCGGTTATAGTAAGGTTATCTATGGTGAACAAAGTGATCATGCATGTGCAGTTGTAAATTCCGGTTATATTCATAAAATGGTATTGATTATGCCTTTAATACTGCAAATGTATTCGCGTGTATTTATTTTCGCGAAAATGTACCTACCGCGAAATTCGTGAAAATAAATACACAGCGAAAAAAGTGCACATACAATATTGTTCTATAGTAAATTTTGTATTCTTGTCTTTCATTTTTGCTTATGTACTTTGTCTATAGAGTGTCTATATGCCTTTTTGTTTTTCTTTGTTGAAAGAGTTATTTGTTTTTATAGTGATTAAGACTATAACACAATGTTGACTGCTGTACCCCTATTTTTGACATGTTTACCTATTATGTCTGTTTGTTTTGCTCATATTGTTGTCAATATAATGATATTCTATGCGACTGTCATACAAGTGAGAAGTTTAGCTAGCTATAAAACCAGGTTTAATCCACCATTTTCTACATAAGGAAATGCCTGTATCAAGTCGGGAATATGACATTTGTTAGTCATTCGTTTGATGTGTTTGAGCTTTTGATAAAGGAGTTTCCGTTTTAAATTTTCCTTGGAGTTCGGTATTTTTGTTATTCTACTTTTTGCATAGAATTCCATTATATTGACAACAATGTGTGAGCATTATAAAAAGACATACGTTGAAGGCCGTACTTTGACCTATAATAGTTTACTTTTACAAATGGGACTTGGATGAAGAGTTGTCTCATTAGCACTCATACTACATCTTCTTATATCTATATAATAGGTAATCAAAGTACTGAACATTGGATAACCGCAAGTTCTTGTGGATGGTCAAAAGCACTTGTCACAGAAAAAAATCACATCTCTATACATGAAACTGAGGTTAATGAACAGAGATATATTTTTTTCTGAGACAAGTTAGTGCGTGGATGATGAATACATGCCAGGAAATTCAACCTCACCGTAATAACTATTATATTGTAGTGATACAAATCAGTATACACTGGTTTGTTGTTATATATTATATTAATATAACAGTTTCATATATATATAATTTTCATCCATTTGTATATCATTCTATTATACTATTCTAATAATAGTGCAGTGCAAGTACATGGTGGACACTCTTCTGTAAAAATTCGATTTTTCTAAAAGATTGGATATGAGTAGGCATTCATATTTTCCCGCAAAAACAATTACAGAGTTACCGGTCCTTGCCGGGATTGTCGCAAAACGTTCTTGAGATATTCTTCCGCATACTTTAACACAATTTTTCGGTACGTGTGCATAGATATTATCAATGATTTTTTACTTATATATATATATATATCTAACGACAAAACATTTTCATATTATTAATTTATGTTCTAAACAAAAATATTTTTATCAGTATTCATTGAAGAGATGTATTTATAACAAACGATAAGGAATGTTAGTTTGCACTCGTTAATATACGCGTATTTATAATGTTTATAGATCGGTTACAAACCCAAAACGAAAGTAACGTAATGGAAATCTAGGCGATAGCAATACATCGGAATGCCCTCACGGTAATCGCGATGTAAAAATGTCAAACATTGTAGTACAGCAGTCAACGTTGTGTTATAATCTAATAACTATAAAAACAAATAAATATTTCAACAAAGAAAAAACAAAATAGCATTTAGACACACTATAGACAAACATCATAAGCCAAATGAAAGACAAGAACACAAGAAATGACCATAACACAATGGCGGGATGTATAAATACCGAGCCACACCAAAAGGGTATTGCCAAAAATGGATCCACACTCAGTCGAAATATCATTATCGGTGATAGCACACAACCCGTTAATTTTATAGATCACACAACTATTCTGTGATTTAAAGATCTCAGACTGCAACAACATTTCTTTAATCCCTTGAGACACATCGTATCTGACAATCAAGTTGTGATGGGGATCATAGAACTTGTGTGGTGTCGATTTCAGTTGTTTTTGTGATCTCACGAAACGACGAAATGAAGAGGGTGTTGTGGATATGATCAATGGTCATGTGACACAGATATTTAGTAACCGCCAATCAAAACATTAACGTAAAACATTTCGAATTTATTACGTTAACTTTATAAATATTCCTACAGCACTAACTACTTTATAGACAAAAACGAGGAGATGTGTTATGATTGCAAATGAGTCAACTATCTACCAGAGTTAAAATGAAGTGGTAGTAAGAAATTATAGGCCATCGTTGAGCCTTCAACAATGAGAAAACCTCATATCGTTACGGCTGTTTACTCGGCTAGAATATGCCCCGACATTAAAAACGTGAAACAATTCAAACTAGAAAACAAATGAAAGGCATGAACCAACGACAACCACTGTGCTACATGCTCCTGACATGGGACAGGCACTGAAAGAATGTGGCGAAGTAACATTAGTTACACGTGGTTGTGATCCCTCAACCCTCCCCTAACCTGAAACAGTCCGGTTAACATTATGTTCGTTTAACTACTCATGACATCGAATTCTGTAATGGTAATAACGCTTTTTTCAAAGATTCAAATAAAAGCAAATAAACTATGTGTTACCTTTTCCTGATAAAAACTAAATCGAACTCAAAAATGAAGGAATGGCAGCCTAGAAGTATAATGGATATGCTACCATTATATAATTTCGTTATGCTACAATTAGTTGCTAGTTTTGTCCCTGTGTTCATACTTCTTGCCTTAATCTCTCTCAAACGTACAATATCACCATTAAAGCAAATAAACTACATCGGTTGTTTAACAATGAAGTGTTTTACATCCCTTAAAATGTAGAAACAATCTTTATTAGGGACAAAGATCACACACTATCAATTATATACAGATCCAATTCTTTTAAACTTGTAGTTTATTTTATGGTGTGTCATAAACATCTACCTAAACGACAGCTTTTTCAAAGAGTATAAATAACGCAAGTACATGAAAAATTCCAACACACTGGAAATTCTGTTGAAAGTACGTGAAGTCATCGTCATTGTGTATAAGTCTGGTGGACTATCAGTCCCCGAGGGTATCATCAGCTGACCTTAAATGAATTTGGCTATTTTTAGGTACTTTTTGGTCATATTGCTCTGCAACTGTTTCGGTTCTTATACATCCTCGGCTTTCAAATATTCGGCTTTGAGCGTTCCTGATGAAGGTAAATCCAGAAAAGCGCTTCGGACGTATGAAATTAATAACTTGTTGTTTTCATTTTTTTCTAGAGTAAATTACCTTTGCCATCAATTTGCTTGGAAATAGCAATATTGTGGTTATATATAATGCTTATTGTTATAGTGTGTCTTTCTATGTTGTGATGTTACACTATTGTTTCAGAAAAAGGGTGAAGGTTTGGTACCATTAAAACGTTTAAACCCGCTGCATTTGTTTGCACCTGTCCTAAGTCAGGAACCTGATGTTCAGTAGTTGTCGTTTGTTGATGTGGTTCATAAGTGTTTCTCGTTTCTCGTTTTTTATATAGATTAGACCGTTGGTTTTCCCGTTTGAATGGTTTTACACTAGTAATTTTGGAGGCCCTTTATAGCTTACTGTTCGAGGTGAGCCAAGGCTCCGTGTTGAAGACCGTACTTTGACCCATAATAGTTTACTTTTATAAATTTTGACTTGGATGGAGAGTTGTCTCATTGGCACTCATACCACATCTTCTTATATCTACTTATCATGGTAGTACAAAGAAACCGGCCTTACAGACAAACACATGAGACGCTTTTTTTATTCCATTATTTTATTTTCATGTGTAAAATAATTTGAAGTTGTACATTACTTACACTATTGCAGAACTCTCTAAATTGATTCCAAATTTAGGAGCCCAAGGATTGACTAGTGTATATAGAAATATGGTCAGGACTTCTATAATTCGGCACTTAATCCCCGTCAAATTTAGTGTTCGTCAGGATATATAAATACGCAGCCACATGTGGTTGGAATGGGGACATTAAATCGATGCCTCGTCTAGAGAGAGTGTCATCTTCACGCGAAAGAACCCTATCAACAACTCTGAAAGAGGTCAGAAGGGACGCCTGTTGCAAGGCTAAATGTCTGACCTATATCCGAGTCCCTCAATTTTCAGTGGCAGTCCAAATTTCCGCCCTTCATCCCTGTCTAGAAAAAACTACCTATTGAACTAATTGTTTACAATTTGTCCTCGTGCTGAACATGCATGAAATATTTGCCACTGGACTTCAGCAAACAACAATAAATCAATCAATCTAAATAAAGCTGGTAGACCTTTGTTCAGGGAAAAAACTCTTATCAGTTTGAATATGTTTGTTATTGTCGGTGTCATCAATGCTTTTAAAGCATACATGTGAATCAGACTTAAAATAACATGTGTTACGATTTAAAAAAACATAGAATATATTCATTAACATGATTAAGACCATTAACCTTCCAGGTGATCCATCGCTTACAGTGAATTGCTGGGTTCCTCTTTCGTAAATAGTGACATAGTTCAGCAGCTCCCTATCCCCACCACCTTTCAATCATTCGAATTCGGAAATAAATTTTCTCAAGGATAATGAGGGCGTGGATGGGGCTTTACAGAATAGTTAATAAAGAATAGAGCAAAATGGACCAAAAATAAAGAAAAGAGAATAATGAGGCGCTAAAATATAAGGATAGAGAATAATAAGCAAAATGTATAAAGAATAAAGAAAAATAGCCTAAATAATTTAAAGAATACAGAAATGAAGGAACCCATCCAGACCCTCGAAAACAAAAAAGAACACTGTATCAATATTTCAAGTTTATTTTTAGTAAAACAACAATTTTAAGAATAGTAATAATAATAATAACAACATGGAATTCACTATTATCACAATTTACAAATAATTCAATTAAAATTGCACAAGGAAGAAAATAGCGGCATATCATGACTTATGACTCATGACCTATGACTAGAAGTCTACCAGCGCTTTGTAATAAATGTTCGAAATGCTAAAAAAGTAAATATAAAAATTAAAATAATGTAAAAACTAAGGCCAAACAAAAAAGTAAGTGTGTTTGAGGTTTCCTCCTTAAGAAAAGAGAGACTGTTTGGAAACCCTAAACACAAGTATTCTTTAATTTGACCAAATGATATAGTTTGAATGCAATCTCATTCCAGCAAGAATTGTTAAATCAAATATCTAATAATCAGTTTTGATCATTTCTCAATGTTTAAACTTTTTAGTGTGTATCTTCTACGTGATTTGCATTTAATTTTAATAAATCACTTTTGATATCTAATATTTATACCTTTAAAAATAAAATTTTCATTATAAACATTTCTAATTGATAGTGCTTATTTTTTTCAGGATATTTATATTTCCATCAATATATTAGCCTTAAATAGAAAAACGCCCGACTAAATTTTTGAACATGTACAACCATGCGTAATTCTTGACCTTAGGTTCAATGATTTAATACATGTTGCTGAGTCAACGTCACATGCCACTTATTGGAATGCATGTTGTCGTTACGTTTTTTACACCTTATCGTTTAACTTGATATTTCTAAATAAAGTGATTAAGATAATCTATTTCAAAAGACTAATAAATGTTTCATTTTAAAGTCATTTTATGACTTCCAAATGCACATGAATATATAAATCTTGTTAAAGAAGTTTTATTTCCCATTATAAAATACTTTCAAAAGGTAACTTTGCTATATTTAAACTAAAGAGGTAGCATAAATGAGTGACTGGCTATCCTTCACATAATGTGAGAATAAAGATATACACGATGTTTGTTGATTATATTAGAAAATTTTCACATAGAAGCAAATTAAATAAAACGGTTCAGTTTATCATACTTGACACTTCTGTAAATCAGATTTTACTTTTGATAAATTTAATTATTTTGATATTGACAAGAAAGTAAATGCTACAAATTAGAATTGATTTTTGCTTTAGTTCACTAATTGAATAGGAAATTGAATTGGAAAATAACAAAAGTGAAAAGATCGTGTCAAGAATTTCAATTGTTCAAGAAATAAAAGGAAGATCGACAATCTATTATTTTTGTAGGAATCATAGTGGCGAACTCTATCAAGACCACAAAATTATTTTGTTTTATCATTTCTAACCAACAATTTTTAACTGCCAGCGGTGTATTTGAGGTCAGAAGTCCGCTACACTAAATATTTTTTGCAATGAACATATGTTTTGCAAACTTTTATAAAAAGCAAACCCAGCCCTACCCCATTGAATTCTATATTCTACAAAAAATGTATTTTCAAGGCAATGGAACTTGCACGGCCATTTTATATTTCCCACGTTATTTATTTTGATTCCATGGTAGCCCTGACATGCATTTATATATTTTCAAAGCCCACAGTTAAACTGTTTTGTAACAAAGACTTTAACCATTTAACATGTTTATAACACATAAAACTACGAATAAAATCTTTGGTTTTACTTGATTGCATCACAATTTGCTAACATTTATCTTGGACTAATATATATAGTATTATAGTCAGAACATTTATAACGTTTTGAATCGTGAAATTAAGGTTCGGTTTTAAAGCCATATTAATGTTGCATCCGACTGTTAAATTTGAATAAATTATGGATCGTTTTTTCTTATTTTCCTTGTAAATTAGTCCTTTGTATCTAAAATGGATGTATATTTCAAACAGTATTGGCACATTTGACCTTCATACCCGTACATTATATGTGTATTTGAAATGATAATTTGAAAGTGACTGATGATATGAATTAAACGTATGTGCAACAATAATTTGTAAACAATGTAAATAAGAAATGCAATAAAGAAATAAAAATCATACATTCTGGATTTCATAAAGGTTTTAAATAAATTATGGTCTGAGGCAAGTTTCAAAGGCATATTTACACATTTTTGTTGGAAATGTCATAATTTGCTTTAAATATAAAGTGAGTTAATTGACTCTTTCTAATCGTAATCAGAGGTGGTTTGAAATTACTTATTAACATAATCTATGCAAATTCTGAATACACGTATTACACAACTGTATCTGGAGACACGACAGGTGACCATGTGAATTCCTCTTGAATATGCATTTTAAGTCGCTGTTTGATTAATCTCCACATTGAAAAAATTGTATTAAGTTTAGGCACATGAAAAAACATCAATTGATTTTTCGTATCATTCACTAACTTGTCATAAACTACCCTACCATTGAGTATATAAGCTTCGTTTAACCGTTTCTGTTTCACTTTTATATGGCTAGGTAGAATACCTGTGATATAATAATCATCAACCCAGAAAAATTTTTCATATAAAGAAGCATTGTACATACGACTAGTCATATCTGTGCTCAACACAAACGCCGAGCCAGAGCAATATGGAGGGAAATAGTCTGGTGAAAAGTCCTCTTTCGGAATATACCATTTACTATTTTTGTCTCTTAATACTGCCATACGTAACCACTGATTGCACAAAATTAGGTTCTTGCGACCTAGCTGAAATTCTACAATTTCTTTTAAATGTTTCACAAGCTTAAAAATGTTGACTAGAATATCATCGTCTGTTTTCAAAGTGAACACGGTGTTATTGCAATAATTTGATATCCATTTCAACGCCGCGATGCCTTTATAAGTTAAATTTTTGTAAGAATCTAAGAAATCTTCTTGTACTATGTCTCCATAATGAGCATTTTCAAGGTCTAATTTGTTCATCACTTTTGTATCTTCTACTCTCCCCATCACAAACACAATTTTCGTTTTGTATTGCTCTAGCAGACGCTTGTCTCCCCACGTGCTTCTAATCGTTTGGCGCTTATGGAAATTCTTTGGTGATGTATGAATGTATGTTATCATGTATATATCCTTTCCACTGCAAATGTTAACAGGGTTTTTCAAGTACGAGAAGTTATGAGGGTTAACTATGTTCCGAGTTTCTATATTTTGATGTCGTACAGTCTCTTTTGTTGTTCGCTGTGTTGTTCTTATGTTTGCAGTAGACTTTTCCATTCCAAATTCATCAGGGATTTGAACACGACCCATAACCTCATTCTGAATTTGCAAACGCCGTAATCTAACAGTATCTGGTCTGTTTCCTTGCATTAAAAGCATGAATAGTAATAATGTTATTCCAACCAGTGTAAGAATGCCTCTATAAATGGATGGTATCCGAGGAAGCATTATATGTTAAGAAACGGCTGAATGCAAAAAGATGGTCGACTTTGAAGAAAGCATTCCTATCAACAGCCTGAGAACATGTCTTTTGATATTTAATCACAACGCTGTTGAACCTACATTAAAATATAGTAATAAAATAATAAATTAAAAAGAAAACATTTTAATCACTGACATTGTAATTGCAATATTAAGATATATCTAATACGAACATTCAATATTGATGTATGTTCGAGTTTTTTACCTTTTAAACCATATGTATTTATAAATTATTATCCCATTCTTATCTGTAACATAAAGTCATTGAAGGCTAAGTAGCTCATCTCCCGTGTATATCTGTATTTACATTTTGATTTGTCTTCTTTAAATTTTTTTAAAGCCAAATTAATATCTAGCATCCCAGCTTCAAAGTGTGGGTTTAGTTGGAGAATAATGATAATAAAATGAAGCAATCTGATTAAAATAAAGATCCTGTGTTCAAGATTTGATTACACCTTGTAAGCAAAGCTTGTACACATGATCTGTATAATAGTCAACTTGAAAATGAAGATAACTAAAATAGCACGAATGTGTGTCTATTGGACACCTCGTCCCGTTCATACTTTCACACTTCAATGCCCCATGGGTGACTGGGGAATAGAAATGTGGTCAATCTTGGTCTTCTTCCGACAGGCAGTAAAGCCCTTGCCAAAGTGGGCGTCCGTTTGGTTGTGTGGGATGTACAAGTACGCAACCACGTCCGGTCAGAATGGGGACGTTAAATCCGATGCCTCGTGTAGAGAGAGTGCTACGCCCACCGCGCGTTAATAAACCTTATAACAAATCTTTGAGGGGTTCGTTGGTGGCCTGTTGCAAGGCTAATTTTCTGCCCCTATCTAATATACCCTCATTTTCCAGTGGCAGTCCAAATTTCTCCATCCTTTATCCTGGACGGCCTCTTATTACAGGACCTACCTATTGTATTTATTGTTTATTTGTTCTCGTCCTTAACATGCATGCAATATTTACAAATTTGTTATTTTACTTTTCATTACAAAATGCAGAACATTTAGTCAAAATGAAACCCTAAATAACGCCCCCTCCTTTTGTTTTAGATACTGTTACACTAATGTTAAATTTAAAGTTATGCGCGTATCTAAATGTCACGATTAAAAAACTTGGACCACACACAAATATTAATATTCTTTTCACACAAAAAAATAAAAAAAAACATAAACGCAGATACTATTTTTGTCATAAGATAATGTGCGAGTCCGGTAATGTAATGATAGTGACATAATTTTTTACTATGAATTTAGAGATAAACCTTCCGCGTAAAATTTAGTAACTATGCGTTTATTTGATCTTATCAGTTGTTTTGGTCAATATTTCTTGCTATTATCTATATCTATATATGAATTAAAGATTGCATTTATCACCACCGACGAATATAAATCGCTGTTTACTCAACGCATACATATTATACTATCACACGGATTTAGAGACAAGGATTTTTACAAGTGAATTTTAACGAAAGTGTACTTTGATCTTATTAATAATCTAACAATGGTACAAATATGATTATAATCCTCTATAAAGTTGTCCGTGACCAGTCAAGTTTTTAAATATGATCTCAATTCTTCTTAAATTGAACGTTGAATTTTTGAATAATGAATTATGAATAAATGACATAACTATAAAAACATATAAACATATATTAGAACTAAACAATTCAGATAAAACAGATAAACTAACAAAAATGTTATCTATTTCTGAACGTATATGGTTTTTGGTATTCCATTTATAAAATAAAGTCCATAGCACTGCGGAAAGTGGACTCGTTATAACTGAACAGTATACAACACCTCTATGATATTAACACAGGTTATGCTGAATTAAGTTTGTATGTTTCATTCCTTTCGAATTGTGTTTTTGCTTGTTGATATTTACATACCATCAAACCTTCAGGGTATGAATAAACATTTGAAATAAAATTATTTAATGAATGAGAGCTTACCACCAAATCTAGTCCATGCATACACGTGGTCCAAATATTGCAACAACATTAGGATTAACGGCAATGCAAGCAGACAAGTGCGTTTTTTCTGCTGAATTGTGAACTATCAAGGAAACATTAAAACCACATGTTCACGTTTCAAATATGAAGGAAGTATACAATAAAATTATGTCCGGGTTAGGTTTTTAAATGCAACTAAATCTATTTGGGTCAAGTGCTATTGGGGTTAGACGATGGGGAAGGATGGGTTAGAAGCCGCCATGATGATTAAAGCCACGCGAGTGTTTAATGATAACAACTATGCCTTTATAAAAAATATAAATATTTAGAAATTGCGCAATGATATATGTGACAAAAAAGTAACAAACATATCAACGGTATCAACGTATATGTTACTTCCTTTTATCGACATACTCTACACATGATACGTTATAATTTACAGCAATTTAATTTAACAATAAAAATCGCTACGAAAATCAATTTTTAATAAAAATAGTGAAGTCATATTACAACATATAATAACTATGTGAAAAAGGGGTGTGTCAAATTTTAACACTATACGATTGTCAACATACCTGTTCCACGTGAATATTAGTACAATGTAAAATTCACCATTCAAATTTTTTTAATAATATCTCCAATGATCTGATAAAGAATTATTGATGTGTAGTCACGGGTCAGTTTTCATTTTTCATTTATCGAAACATAATCGATCAGATGTGACTGTGTAACGTAAACTCACTTATCATAAAGTTACAACAATAGAAGTATACTGAGCGTGAATAATAGTAAATATGTTTAAACACCTCACTTAGAAATTGTAATACGAATTAAATTACAACGAAATAGATAAAATATTCAAATTGATGATTGTTAAGTAAATACAACAAATGTAAACTAAGCTAAAATGGGAAGATTTCCTGTCGAAACCCAAAAAAAATTGCTTCATTTTTTGTTCAAATGTTTGAAAGGTTTAATTATCAGAAACAATGGCATTCGGCGTTTTTGGGTAGGCAATGACATAACATAAGTAAATTAAGTCTTTAATTTAGGACAAGACTTGCATATGAGCTCCTTAATTTCATGTTTGTCTACACTTATTAATTCGATCAACGGAGATGGTTTGAATAGGATGGTACAATCCAATTGGGTATAATAATCGTGATTCTTTTATTGAATGATGTTTTTTTTTGTTTTATTTTATCCGTTGTTATATTTCTTTTGGTGTATTTATTTGCTTGATTTTGTGTACATAGTTTTCTAGCTATTTATAGCAAAAGATTAAGTAGCACTTCATATCAAAGTGTATTGCTTGAATTGAATCATGTAAATTACCAGTTTGCATTCTGTATAATATACTCTTAACGAAGGGATGCCTGTTTGAATGTGCGGCATACACGTGTGATCTGACTGGGGACCTTATTGTCTCATTGACAATTATACCACATCTTCTTATTCTTGTATCTATTAAATTCAATACATGTGTGGGAATACATGTATATCAGACTATCTATATATATGCATATAACATTCAGTCACCTCCGTTTTGCTGTACGAATAAATAGATACGCCCCAATACACGATCATAACTATCAATCGTAAGTTATATTCCCTTGAGAATATAAGAACAATGTCAGTCGTTATATTCCGCCGATTTCCGATTGATATCCGATTGCTACTATGACTATGATTAGGCAATAAGCTGCTAAAGAGCGCAGAATTATCGAGTTACATGGGGATCGTATACAGAGATTTTCCAAAAAAAAAGCTACCCGGAATATTTTGACATTGTTATTTTAGATAATATCTTGAATATAAAAACAAGGAGATGTTGTATGATTACTACTGAAACAACTATTCACCAACGTTCAAATGTGGAGTGGATGTTAGCAATTATTAGCAACCGTTACTGTGCTGTTGTTTAAGTCAATGACTGCGTCTGGTATTCTTTGGTATAAACATTGATTGATTTTCGTTTAATTATCGTTTGAGACAATCATGACTAAAGTATTTATTTTTTTAATTTTGTGAGTTTAATCAATTTATTTTCAAAGGTCGTGTTCCTGCATTTTTCTATGACGTTAGTGTATGAAATCTTCTACGAAGTACAGCAACTGATATTAGAGTGTTAATTTAACGGCGTTATTTCTCATCAGAAGATTCAGTTCGTTGAGCTTACTTTCAGGAACTGCAAGCATTGTTTGATACGGTATAAATTGATTATTATTTCATGTTTTTCGTGGTTTTCTATTTCATCGTTATTTCCGCGTTTCCTTATACAATTTGTATCCTATGGCTTTATGCATGTTTTGTTAGACCACTGATCGTAATTAAAAGGGGGGAATAGTTGAGATACAAAATAACCTTCAATTCGCATTCATATCTATATCATTGTGTCTGCTCCAAGTCACGATCCTCGTCAGTGGTTGTCTTTGTCATATCTTGTTTAGTTACTTGGGGATTTGCTGTTGATGGTAAATCGTTGATTGTCTCTATTATTTATTAACAACTTTTATTGAGTGGATGATTTAGAGCTTGACCTATTTTGAAGACACAATTCTATTGTTGAAGACTGTATGTTACCCTTTTAATGTCTTTTGTTTATCTTTGTCGTTAGGTTGTTGTCGTATGGGCATTTACACCCCACTTCTCCATTTACTCTTATGCAAGAATCATAAATAATTTACTTTTAGAACATACTATGGACCAATATCCACTGTATTTATTTCACGCTAATGATGTTTTCAAAACTTCGTTCCATGTTCATTTCAAGTCACAGAATCAAGGCTTCTTTGTCTTTGCTTCGAGACTGGCGTAATTTTTTTATCATATTACCAAATCGTATTTGCTGCGAGATGGATTAAAACTGTTGCAATGTGATATTCAGGAATTTTTTAGTATTAATGCGACCAAAAGTCAAAACAAGTTTTAACAATTTTGTCATAATACAATGTACTCCGGACAACATACAGTTTTAGTTACATAATTGCGTTTGTGTGAATGATGTTTCGTGTTAAGTTGTATTTTAGGTATTTTTCATACTGTCTGTAAACCCTTCTTTTTTAAAATATTCATACTTACGGTTTAGCCAAATAATTAAAAATCCTTCGGAAAATGAAACACAATAAACACCTGTTTTATTGAATACAAACCAAATCTAATATGGTCTTACATATACCGGTAACAGATTTTTATTGTACATTAGAATTAATGGAAACATATTTACATTTACACTTTTACACAAATATCAATTGTTTACAGATCAATATGAATATATGAACCAATATATAGGACTAAAAGGTAAATTATATACACCCAATAGTTTGGAAAAGAGAGATCAATTGTACATTATGTTGCAGTTAAATGTCAAAAGTCTAGTTGTTGTATTATGAACAAAAATACAAGTTGTGTGTGCTGAGCTAGAAGCGTTTTTCATAGTTAAGCTTTTATCTGGAATTTATAGAAATACAACAATTTATAGATCCATGGTAGTATGCGTAGCCAATAGGGACCTAAAGCGATGGTGAAAGCGGTCAGAGGTAATCTTGCCTGTACGAAACGATCATTAATTTGTAAAGTAAAAGATTATAAAAATGTATCTACTGAGAATTTCTCAAAATCTATATGCCAAAAACATGCCACTACCGAAGCACCTACTATTGAAAAAAAACAGGAAAAAGGTAGACCTTCCAAAAATTAAAAAAGACGCGATACCATAATCAAAGAGAAAGAACACTTTCATTATTTTTTCTTACTGTAACATGACAATAAGTGTTCAACTCCCTTCATCACTGGATACTAAGCCAACAAGCTAGTTTGTTCTTATGTTGTGCTGTTACACCACTGTCCCAAGTTAGGTGAAGGGTTGAGCGCTCACAAACATGTTTAACCCCGCCACATTCTATATGTGCATGTCCCATGTCAGGAGCCTGTAGTTCAATGGTTGTCGTTGGTTCTTGTCTGTCATGTTTGTTTTTCGTAAATTGTTTTATTATAAATTAGGCCGTTAGTTTTCTCAAGTGAAAGAAGTGTTTCATATTTTTCATGTCGGGGCCTTTTATACCCGACTAAACGGTATGGGTTTTTCTCATTGTTGAAGGCCGTACTGTTGCCTATTATTGCTTACATCCACTTTATTAGAACTTTGGTGGATAGTTGTCTCGTTGGCAATCATACCCCATCTCCTTATCTTTATAAGCTGTTTATCTTTCTCTGTACTTCTTATAGTATTGACTTGAATAAAGATCTCCTTGAGTACTTAAGTAAAATTTTTAACCTTCTATATAAATTGTTTTGAAAATACGTTTATTTTGTTCTGAACAACCAAAAGATGCCATCAACTAAACGCAATTGCTTGAACCTTGGCTGTAAGAATTCTTGCAGTAGCTATATAAATTTAAAACCGTTATGATTTTTACATTTACATATGTATCAACTTAAAACAAGTTTATTATTGATATGGTCTTATGACCCCTTTTAGTTATACTACCGTCGATTTATTTTCCGAATTAACCTAATGGCTTTTCCCCCTTTTCAGACAATTCTGTCGACAATAGAAAATTATTTATTTCTGTCTGTAAGTGGTAGTCTACCTTTCATTAGTGGATGTCAGAATCAGGAAGTATAAAGAACATTGAAAGAGTGTTTTCAGATAAATAATGTGTAATGCATGATCAACAGCAACATATATCAATATAATATATTTTTGGGGGAAACAAATAAGGGAAATTATTCACTAAATATTATAAAAATTTCAACCCCCTGAAGTAGCAACCGACAAGTAGGCACTGAAAATACTTTGGCGTTGACTTGAATTGTTACTTTTTGTGCGCAAATTTTTGTTAAAACTAAGGATACAACTTTAGCATATGTTTTGATGTTCTGTTTCGAATGTTTTGGTTTTATACTTCTAAAAATAAAAATAACACCTTATAAATTCAACGCGTCTGAAGCGCTTTTCTAGATATACTTTTTCACCAGGAACGCTCAATCCCAAAAATTTTGAAAATCGATGATGCATAAGTATACGAACACGTGAAAAGCAACGAGATCAAAACGGACATAAAAGTAATAGCCATATCCATATAAAGTCAACAATGCCTGAGGAAGTTGGTTCTTTATATTATGTCTTAATAATTTCCAAATTTATCATAGGAGAATTTTAGAAAAACTGACAACTGAGTTAAAGATACCTTCTGAGCCTTACAGTCCACCAGCAGCAGTACCGACCCAGTGGTAGAAATTGAAAGTAATACTTTATGAATTTGGTGCGTCCGAAGTGCTCTCCTTGATTTACCGTCGACAGGAATTGTCAATCGATTTATACTTTAAGGATGTTCGCTCCTCTTGTTTTTGATTTTTTGCCCGATATTCGGAATCCTCTGGTTTTATCCATGTAGTGCCATTAAAAATTTTGCCCACTTACCCCTACTTTTCTTTCCAAAATTTGATTACATATAGTTTAAAATGTCATCATTGAAAATCTTATAAAATCCTTGTTATTTTTTCATCGTTTTATAAAGAAAAAAGGTGCTAATGTTAAATGTATGAAAAATCTAGAGAGAATTATTTCCCGCCAAATTTTAAATGGTTTATATCTCGAAAACAAGCACACTGACCCTTCATTTTTTTCAGCTTTTTTAGTTTCTTTATTTATATACTATCAATCTATAACAGTCTTTTAAAAAGCTTGTTATTTTGAAACAGAGTAGCAAACATCCTTAAGCTTTCAAAACTTTTTGTTTCGGGAAAGTTA